AACAATCCTACATAAAGATGAATAAAATCTTCTATAAAGCAAATTAAAAACTAAATTTAAGATTTAAACAAAGAAATTGCCATACTGCTCCACAGCATGGTCATGGGCAGTCAGGGCTAAACACTCCTTGCAGGTCAAGTCTGTAGTAATGGAGTCAGTTTCATGGTACTTCAGAGGCTACTTCACTCAATCTTCCAGGATACCTCCCTTGACCCTTTCCAAATCTGTGTGGCCCAACCTGGGTCCAACTGGTCCTGTGCTCACAAGCTCTAACATTAATAGGTCTTGTGACTACTATCCAATTATCAATGACCACTATCAAGCCACTGCCACCTCCTGCTTACTAAGTCAACTCCCTTCACTTCCAGGCTTTCCCTGTCATCACCCACTAAAGCTCAGAGGTCACACTATTTTGCTCATGGTCAGTTAGGCTGTTAATAAGTGACAGGGTTTGGTCTTGAGTTGTCACTACATAGTAGTGCTCCAGGACCTCTCTGATGGTGCCCCACTGCATTTTCCAGTCTGTGTTCCTCACCTGGCTTTGTCCTATGCAGGATAACAGGCTACTTCATTTTTCAATTCCTCTCCACAATTGACATAGTCTTTATTACTTCCTCAATCACTGACTTAAAATTATTTACTTTTCACCAATATCAAGAGTGAGATATTGGCTGGGAAGATGGTTCAACAGGTGAAGAGTTTACTATGCTAGTCTGATAATCTGAGTTTGATGCCCATAACACATAAATAAGTAACATAAATATAGCACGGACTTTGAGAGCCAAGGTTAGACATATATACATATATACATACATACAAAGTCCTAACTACCACAAATTATGCAGTCAAGTTTTTAGCATTTGGGGGAAATTCATAGGGGTTAACACATCCCAAGGGCAATGGATGAGCCTCATCCTGGGAAAATGATCTTTTGATCATGGCATTTGCTCTACCATGTAAGGATAGACCACTGTTATCTAAGAGCCCCCAAATTCAGGGTTCCAGACAACCCTGGTGTGTTACATAGTAGGAAAGGGTTACTGGCTTTTAGACTCCACCTAGGACATTGCATGTCTGGAGTATTTCTTTAATGGTAAAGAACAGCAGTCAGAGGCTGTCCTGACAATTTATGAACCCATTCACTTTCTTCCTTTTAAAAGTAATTTAAGACTTATTTATTAATTAAGTTTATGTGTCTACATATGGCTATGTACATGTGAGAGTACAGGTGCCTGAGGAGACCAGAGGTGTTGGATCCCCTGGAACTGGAGTTACTGGTGGTTGTAAATTGTCTAATGTGGAATACTGTGTGCAAACTCAGGTCCTCAGCAAGAGCAGAACACACGTTTAACAGCTGAACCATTTCTCCAGCCCCTAAAATAATTTTTAAGTTAGCATATAATACAATGGGTTTCATAATGGCATTTTCATGTTCCCTCCCTCCCTCCCTCTTTGAAGTGGTAAGGACAGAACCTGGGGCCTTGAACATGCTAGGCAACAATTCTATCACTCAGGCACATACAAACAGTATCTTACTTTCTCAAGATCATCATTAATGAGCATCACCCCAAAGAATAAGCATCTACTGCAAGGAGCAAAAAATGCAAACTTCAAGTGTGACAAAATGATTTTCCTGTTATTTGGAACCATTTCAAGTAACTGGATATACCAAAGAGAAACCATGTTTAAAAGGATCTTGGGGTTTTTGATCCTACTGCACATTTCAAACTATCTTATAGTTGTGCTGTGTGCCATCCACCATGGTGTTCCCATCGGCAGCACATGTACTAGGTGGTGCTATTAGTAAGGATAGTATCCATGAGGCATACATGAGAGCCAAACTTTTCAATGGTGGAGTAGGCCTTTGTAAAGGATGAGTGCTAGATTGGAGCCAAACAGTCACTCTTTATCAGGCCTGACCAGCACTACTACACACTTCTAATGAGGCTTAAACTCAAATATTTCTTTTTTTTTAAAGATTTTATTTTATGTGTATGAGTGTTTTGTCTGCATATGTCTATGCATTGGTGCCCATGGAGGTCAAAAGAGGATGTCACACTCCCTGGAACTGGAGTTACAGTTGTTTGTGAGTCATCATGTGCATGCTGGGAACAGAACCCAAGTCCTTTGCAAGAGCAGCAAGTGTTAACTGCTGAGCCATCTCTCCAGCCTCTCAATTATTCCTGAAGTTCTTTCTAGATATAAAACTCTTGAGTCTTCAAGGTGGGGGGTTAGGGTGGGGGGAACCAATCACCCAGGATTTGGTGCCAGAAACAGGATTTCTGTTGCCAGAAAAAACTGAAGGTGCTACTTGACCCAATTATGACTGCCCCTTAATGGCCCCTTTTCACATCCAAGAAGGGGAAGGCCACTTGGCTGGGGCAGCTCTAGCCAGTAGGTCAGGCGTAGCGAGCACGCTGCCCAGTCCAAGTGCTTTATAGGCCCTAGGGACTTGGCCAGCTCCAGAGTCCTGCTAAAGTACCAGAGACTTGGAGCTGGTGAAACTCTTGCACAGACATGCACAGTAACACAGTAAGACACGAAAGTCCATGGTTCTACCCCATTTCCAAAATGAACCCATCAGCAACAACCAAAAGACAGTGGAGGTTAATCACTTCATTTTCTCACTGTGTTACCAACTACTACACACCTGCTGTCAGCTGAAAATGTAGGTACCCTTTCTCCTGAAACCAAGGTATGTGATTCCCCAATCCGTCTCCTGTCTCACTCCTCTACAAACCTTTCCCTCACCTTGACTGACTTCCTGCAGTAGAAGAACCACACCTGTCCTCCAAGTCATCTCTTTCTATTCCCTCTAATAAATGAAGCTGCAAGTTCTGCTAGAGTAACACCTGAAGACATCTCTAACTCCCTCCTTTCTGCCTTCTCAATCAGGTCCCTGTCTCCTCTTGCCTAGACCAACTCCTAAATGTGTCTCTAAACCCAGTTTAACCTTTCCCTCTAAATGACTCCTCTTGCAATGTCTCCAGGCCTCTGTCCATGGTGACATCAGCCTTGCCACTGAGTTTCTGTGCACTATCTTCTCTTGTCAATCCTTCCTGTGGCATAAAGGTTTCTTTGATGGGTGGCTGGACCTAGTCACTTCCAAGCTCCCCATTAACTTTTTCTTCCCTAGGCATGAGTGGAATGCCAGCAATGCACCAGGCACAGGGAACACAAAACAGAAGCAATCCCAACCACAACAGATCAGGATGTTAGCCTCTGAACTAGATGGTACTCTCCTTTCCCCATCTAAGCAATCTTCTGGAGTCCCCTTGACAAGGACCAGAATCCTGCTACCACCTGAACCCAGCATAATTTTCTAGTTTTAGGTCCACATTTACCCTCCTGACTGACTCTCTTGGTCTGGCTCAACTGGTAAACTCAGGACTGGTAGCTTTTGGTGCCTTCCTTTTCTCTTAATGTGGCCATTTGCTGATCCTGGATAGCCCTCCCTGTTCCTCTTTTATTGCAATCTGCTTGAATAAAAACAACCTTCAGTAACCAATAATCATTCCATTCAATATACTGTATGTAAAGACCAACCTTCTTTTTTATATTATGTCTCATAATACATTGAGGCCTCTTCTCAAACCAGGTTGACTTTCTTTTTGGAACAGTTTCAGTGTAGTCCAGGATAGCCTCAACCCCCATAGATAGCCAATATCTGCCCCTAACTCCTGAGCAGAGATTACAGGCACGAGACACTATTCCTGGGTTATGTGGCACTGGGTATTAAAAGCAGGGCTTCATGAATGCAAGGCAAGCACTCTACCAACTGACCTACATCCTCAACCCTGAAAAGGTCATTTTTTTCCAGTGATAGAGAATAGGTACTGGCAATTTACACTACCTTTCTTGAGGATAGAAAGGTGGGGATAAACCGGGCGGAGGTGGCGCATGCCTTTAATCCCAGCACTCGGGAGGCAGAGGCAGGCGGATCTCTGTGAGTTCGAGGTCAGCCTGGGCTACCAAGCGAGTTCCAGGAAAGGCGCAAAGCTACACAGAGAAACCCTGTCTTGAAAAACCAAAAAAAAAAAAAAAAAAGGTGGGGATAAACTACTGAGCACTGCAATGAGCCCCCGCACGTGTGGACATGGATATTCTGTACCATCCTATTTCCTGCATCCTGCTTCAGCCATGTGCTTGCTTTCTTGTCTCCAGTCATACATTAAACTGTTTTCTCATCCTTCTTAAGTTCTCTGTGGCCACTTATCTTTGTGGCACTCAAGTTTTGGGTAGGATCAGCTACCACTGCTCTTTCTCATGTCCCAAATTCCAAGCCATGTGACTTTTGACCCTCTAATTGTGTCTCAATGCTCCCTGTCTCTACAGCTAATGTTCTGGGTCATATTAGCAATTTTTCCTACTCGAAGGAAAGCACCTAACTGGTTTTCTGGCTGCCAGTCAGTTCCTCCTGTGTGAATGTGACTCCCTCTGTCAATTAACATGGATCTGGAGAGGGCCCTCATAATATCTGAGCTCTTTTCCCAACAAACCTGCTACTCCATTCTACTTTCCCAGAAAGTTCCATACCCTGCATGGTTTCCTCAACAAATGGATGGTCCCACCTCCTCTACCCACCAAGTTCTTGAAGAGCCTTTCCCACTGGTCTTTTACCTAGCTACTTCCTTCCAGTTCTTCTGCCTCAACAACTACAAGGAACATTCTGAGGTCTCTTGGGCTTGCGTAACAGTTCCTTTTCCTCTGCTTCCACATCAGTTGGTACTACTGCTCACAAGCCAGGCTGAAATCATCTACACACGGGTCATATACAACATGGTCTCTCCAGAGGCTAGCCTCTAGGCTAGAACACAGCTTGGGGGAGGGGGCGCAAAAGCTCATTTCCCTCTTGCTGGCCAATTTTCTTAGGTCTTCTCTTAGAACCAGGACCACTGTGAACTACTGCCACCTAGGGGCAAAAGGCTAGCACTGCATCTCACTCTCACCATTCAGCATTTAACTAGATTTAACACACTGAATGAGATGGGAACACAAACCAGGAACAGTTGATTCTGGAGGAGGTGGAGAAGCCTTGGCAGTTGGAGGCAGCTTCAAGCGGTGTTTGTGCTCTGAACCGGGCCACACAGCATGAGAAGGAGATCTTCTTCCAAGGAAAGAGCAGACAGGGTCAGAGGGGGTAGGGGGTCACCCCAAGCTAAGGGCTTCTGATTTAAATCTTTAGAGCCATTCGAATAGCCCAGCACAACCTCCCACCCCCCAAGACAGGAGAAACATGATCAGATCTGCATCTTCAAAAGTCAAAAGGCTGGTGTGCAAAGGCAGAGAGAGGAGAAGCAGTAAGTGTGGGAAGAACTGAGTAAGCACAGGAAAAAGTATGTTCTTCAATCTCTCCCTTTCTGTTGCACAGTGACCTATTCCTGAACACATCCAAATCTGTTTTCCTCAAACCAGTGCTAACAGAAACACTGCCCATTTCTCTCAGCTTCTTCACAGACCTCGAAGTCACAGCATTAAAAAATATTTTTAGATTTATGTGTGTTTTGTTTGTATGTATGGGAACCACATGTGTGCTTGGTGCCTGCAAGGCCAGAAGAAGGCATGGGATCCCTTGGACCTGGAGTTAGAGATGGTTGTGAGCTCTTCTCTGCGGAGCCACCTCTCCAGCCCCACAGCATTTTAAAAACCAGCTCTCAGCAGTTTTGTACATACATGTTCAGTGGTAATACATTGGGGTATCTCGGACCTGCATTCAAATTCTGCACTGGCCATGAGACTATCCTAAGCTCCACTTTCTTCTCTAAAATGGATATTCTAACACCTATCTTAGGGGTTGGAGACACACCTGTAAAGTATTAACACATGGTACACTGTTGATAAATTCTGATGTTGATAAATTCTATTTGTAACATCATGTATTCCATGTATGGCATGCACAATACTGGGGTTTTCCTCTCACATCTTCACAATATTTTCACCCTACTATTTTACAGGCAATTCAACATAGCTCACTCAAAATCTTAGGAGCTTCCCACAGAACATCAGAGATAGGGCTAGAAGAACTTTTCCAGAAAGATTATTTAAGGATTTCTCACCTCTGTGTGTGTATGTGTTTGGTGGTGGGGAGCGCGAGAAAGACCCCTAGCAACGCTTGAATTTATTTTTGGTCCTCACAACTGGGAGAAGTGGGAGGCAGAGATGCTAATACTTAGTAGGCAGAGAAGCCAGGCATGCCATCCAACTTCCTACAAGCACAGGGCAGCCAGGCCCCCACAACCAACCATTATCTGACCTTAACTGTCTGCAGCAAGGAGGTTAGAAAAGCTTTCCCTACCATTTTGCTCCTTCTAAAGCACTGGTCATCGGTATCCCACATGAACATTTTCGATAATAGAAGCTCTGTCCCATGCAAAAAAAAAGTTCTCCACCTGCCCTGCACATAGTAGGCGTCAAAACCCATTTTGATATGCTTTAGCAGCACAAGACAACAGATAAGGAAGACTCTCCTTCACTACCCATTGTTCAACTGCGTGCAATTATATTTTCTATATTTACACATTATTTTACAAATGCAAACGTCCAGAGGACAGCTTTGTTAGAGATGGCGATCAAAAAATTTTTCCCTTTTATTTTCTAGGACTTCCATACATACAGAAGAAAGGTTTGCACACTTTCTAAAAGGACCTCACGATCCGTCGCGGTGTATCCTGAAAATCGGCCACAAAAGAAATCTGTGAGATTTCCCGAGAGAGCGAGTCCGTGGGCCGTGACCTTTGGGCGCCCAAGGCCCTCGCTCCTCTCTTCCGCCCCCGGATCACCGGGCTTCCGAGACCGACTATGCAGGGCCCCCCAAAGCCTTGGAGCCCGGCCCCCCAAAGCGCGTGCCCACGCCGTGTCCTTCTCCCGCCTCTCTCACGGGAGCCCAGAGAGGAATCTGGCCCGGAGGAGGCTTGTCGCCGACCTGGATCAAACCGAGTCGGTTTCCCTTCGCCTAGCCACGGCCCACACGCGCGCCTCCGCACCCAGGCCTTGCGCGGCCTGGGGCCTTCGGCCAGTGCAGGCCCGGCGGGCGCCCGCGGGACTAGGCGAGCTCAGGCCCTAGCGCGGCCTACTCTTTTGGAAGTCGCCGAAGCCACCCGGCCTCACCTGAACACGGGCGGGAAGGCCCGGGGCTCTGCTCCGGGGCGGGCGGCGCGGCGATAACGGCTCCGCACGGCCTCGGTAGCGGTGGTGGCGGCGGCAGAGCGGCGACGGCGACGGCGGCGGCTCCTCCTCAGCGCGCACGACCCGCTCCCCGGCCCCGCGGCCAGACACGCCCCCTACTCAGCGCGCTCGCCTATTGGTCGGCGTCTTTGACGAGACGGAGCTCATTGGTTGATATGGCTGTCGCGGTGCTCTGGTGCGTGCGGCGGAGGCAGGACTTCCTGTCAGCGCCGCCAGCCAAGGGCTAAAGCGGCCGGTGGAGGCGCCGAGTGGCGGGCCATGGCCCCGCTAGCCCCCTCCACCGCCATGGCCCGCCGCAGGCGCCGACTGGACACGGAGGCCGAGGAGTGACTCTCTTTGTGGAACTCACACCATCTGGTCTTCACCTGACGGGCTGTGCAGTCGCCTTCGCCCGAAGTAAGAAGTGTGGTCATCGGGAGCCCAGGCTAGGAGGGTAGGATCTCTGGTTCGAATCCCGCTCCCGACCCACGTTTCCGCTCTGCCTGCCTGCGGTTGAGCACCGGCTGACGTCACTTCGCCTGGCTTCAGTTTTCTTATCTAGTGAAATGAATTAAGAGATGTAGTCACCATGGCATTCCCAGAGGCTCTAACGTTGAAAATTTTTGGTTTTAAGATTTTTTTTTTTAATGTGTATGGGTGGGTTTCGGCCTGCGTGCACCACATGCGTGCAGTGCTTACGGAGGTCAAAAAGAATGTCGGATCCTCTGGAACTGGAGTTGTAGACGGTTGTTAGCTGCCTTGTGAGTGCTGGGAACCGAACCCGGGTCCCCTAGAAGGGCAGCCAGTGCTCTTAATTACTGAGCTATCTTTCCAGCTCCTCTTCCTTTGAAATTTTAAAAGCATGCTATGTGTCAGCCAGGCAGTGATCAGAAAACAACTGCCTGTCCTTTCGGTGGCTGCTGTTCTGGGATGGTGCTATCAGAAAAGTATATGCAAATTGCATGATTTAAAAAAATTCTGTCTTTTTTTTTTTTTTTTAGCGTGTTTGTTGTTTTCTTTTAATCAAGGTCTTCCTAAATAGTCTTGGCTTGGAATTATAGACTAGACTGACTTTACCTCACAGAGATCTGCCTACCTTTGCTTCCTGAGTGCTGGGTTTAAAGGTGATGCGTATGTTTTTGAGACAGGGTCTCATGTGGTCCAGGTTGGCCTTAAACTCTATATGTAGCTAAGGAAGGTGAAATGATCCTTCTGCTTCCATCTTTCAAATTCTAGGATTACAGTCCTGCAACACCACAACTGGCTATATGACCTTTTAAAGATAGTTTTATGGAATTTGAAAATATTGTATTTTAATATATTCTGTATTTATATGTTTGTATGAACATGTATGTAGAAATCAAAGGAAAGCTTGCAGGAGTCAGTTCTCTCCTTCCATCATGTGGGGTCTGGGGGTTGAACTCAGGTTGTCACACTCAACAGTTGAGTTGAGTTGGCCAGTGTCAGCTGAGCTAATTCTACAGCCCTGTGACATTCTTTTTTTTTTTTTTTTTTTTTTTGAGACAGGGTTTCTCTGTGTAGCTTTGCACCTTTCCTGGATCTCGCGCTGTAGACCAGGCTGGCCTCGAACTCACAGAGATCCGCCTGCCTCTGCCTCCCGAGTGCTGGGATTAAAGGCGTGCGCCACCACCGCCCGGCAACCCTGTGACATTCTTAACCAGCTCTACACAGTAAAAATTTAAGGAAGCCACAAAATTGTCAGCTATATGGCAACTTAAAATGCTAATATTATGTATGAGAAACATGTTTATTAACTTATGGGCCATGTAATTTAGTGGTAAAGTACTTTGCTAGTACATCCAAGGAGATTCACAAAAGAAAAGCTGAAAAGAAAAAAGGACATGATGTAGCTCAGGGGTTGAGTGTTTGCCTAGCAGATATAAAGTTCTGTGTTTGATCTCCTGTACCAGATAGCGTTCAAACCCAGGCATTGCATCCCGTAATCCAAGAACTCGGGAGATAAATAAAGTTGAAAGATCAAAAGTTCATGGGCAGGATGGAAAGGTGGCACAGCTGTTAAGAACAGTTACTACTCTTGCAGAGGACAAGGATTCAATTCCCAGCAACCAACCACATCTATTGACTCATAACTGCCTGTAACTCTGCTTCCAAGGGATATAACACTCTCTTCTGACCTCTAAGGGCACTGCATTCATGTACACAAATCCACACTCAGACTCACACATACATAAATAAAACCTTTCTTTAAAAAAAGTGCATCCTAGGCCAGGCAGTGGTGGCGCACACCTTTAATCCCAGCACTCGGGAGGCAGAGCCAGGTGGATCTCTGTGAGTTCAAGGCCAGCCTGGTCTCCAGAGCAAGATCCAGGATAGGCACCAAAATGACACAGAGAAACCCTGTCTTGAAAAAACAAACAAACAAACAAAAATTGTTGGGGTTAGGGATTTAGCTCAGTGGTAGAGCGCTTGCCTAGCAAGCACAAGACCCTGGGCTCGGTCCTCAGCTCCGGAAAAAGAAAAAAAAAAAGTGCATCCTTGACTACATAGCAAATTTCAAGACCAGCCTCAGCTACATGTGACCCTATTTCAAAAAAAGTAAATCATTAGTTGTTTTACAGAGGTAAAGATATCTCAACAGAGTGAGGCACCACCTGAGTTCAAGCTCCAGAACCCACAGGATGGGAGGAGAGAACTGACTTCTGCAGGTTGTCCTCTGACTTTCATATCCACACCTGGCACACATAGTATCTTTTTTTAAATGTAAAAAACAGATATTTTAATAATTTTATTTAACCAACTATTCTAAAACATTTCAACATATAATCAAAGTTAAAAGTTACATGATCTGCCAGGTGGTGGCGGCACACACCTTTAGTTCTAGCACTTAGGAGACAGAGGCAGGGGTATCTCTGAGTTTGAGGCCAGCCTGGTCCACAAAGTGCGTTCCAGGACAGCCAGGGCTTTTATCCCAGCACTGTGGGGACAGAGGCAGGCAGTTCTCTGTGAGTTCCAGGCCAGCCTAGTCTACAGAGCTACTTCTAGGCCCGCCAGAGCTACACAGAAAAAAACCCTATCTTGGAAAAAAAAACTGTTGTGAGATTTTTTTACATTCTGTTTTTTCCTTCCTTTTGCTTTTGAAATCTAGTGTATATTTTACATATCAAATTGGACCAATTGCATTTCAAGAACTCAGAAGTCCCATGTTACCATCGGACCATGAGCTGTTGTAGGAGGAAACAGAAGAGAAATCAAGTGAGTTCCATTTGAAGTAGTTTTTAAAAGGGTAAGAAGAAAAGTGAACTGGGAAAAGGGTACAGGAAGGTAGGGATAGCAGTTCAAAGAGGGTAGTCAGGGAGATGGACTATGAAGAAGAATCAGAGGAGTTGAGAAAAATTATGTAGGTAGAGTTTTCCTGTCCTGCCTGCTCCCAATTAACCATTAGCCACTTCCCAAATAACTGACTCGGAGACTTAATATAAATTATAAATGCTTGGCCAATAGCTCAGGCTTAGAAGTCTAACTAGCTCTTACATTTTAAGTTAACCGATATTCCTTATTTATGCTCTGCCACATGGCAGTACCTTTATTAGCATGGCACGTTCATCTCCTGCTCCCTCTGTGTCTGGCTGGTGACTCCTGACTCCTCTGCCCTTCTCCTTCCCAACGTTTTCAGTTTGGCTTTCCCGCATAACCTTATTCTGTTCAGCTATTGGCCAGTCAACTTGTTTATTAAACCATCAAAGCTACAAATCTTCACAGTGTACAAAGGAACTATTCCATAACAAAATTACATTCTTTATTGTTTAGTGTTGCCCTGTAGACCATGTAAAAATTTTGGGTATGGGGCCTGGAAGATAGCTTAGTAGGTAAGAGGTTTGCTGTGCAAGCATGAGGACCTGAGTCCAGAACCTGGTGCACACATAAACAGCCACTGTATGTGTGTAACCACATGTTGTGGGAGGCAGAGGTGGGGGGATTGATGGGGCTTGCTGGCTGCTGATACAGCTCAAGGTACAGGGGAGACTGCCTCAAAGAAAGAAATAAGTTACCCATGATAGAGAGTAAGATATCCATTGCCCTCTTCTGGCCTCTACCTGTGTGCACACATGTGGACATACACTATACTTGCACACAAAAATTAATGTGTCCCCTATCAACACTTCCCTATTGAAACTTGATGTTGGACACTTGACAGTAGCTAGTTAACTGAATATCTGAATTTTTAATTATATTTATGTGTGTATGTAGGTATGTGTAGGTGGAGTTTTCCTGTGCAGCAGCTGCTCCCAAATAATCACTTAATATTACTTGTGGATACTCGGTTGATTAGCTCAGGCTTATTACTAACTAGCTCTTAGAACTTAAATTAACCCATTTCTATTAATCTATGTATTGCCACATGGCTTGTGACTTTACCTGTCCTCTAGCATATCTTGCTCCCTCCTTGTCTCCTGGAGACTCCACTCTCTGCCCTTCTTCCTCCTAGCATTCTCAGTTTGGCTGTCCGGCATATGCCAGTCAGTTCTTTTTTAAAAATGAGAGTAACATATATTCACAGTGTACAGAAGTATTATTCCACAGCAGGTGTGTGTGTGTTTATGTTTACACATGCACATGTGTGGTCACATACATGTAGAGGATAGAGATCCTTCTGGTGTCATTTTGTTTGTTTGTTTGAGGCAGGGTTTCTCTGTGTAGTTTTAGCTGTCCTGGAACTTGCTGTGTAAACCAGGCTGGCCTGGAACTCTCAGAGCTCTCCCTGCCTCTGCCTCCCAAGTGCTAGGATTACAGATGTGTGTCACCACCGTGTCATTCTTTATGCACTGTCTACCTTGTTTTTCTGAGACAAAGTATCTTCATTGGCCTAGAACTTGCCAATTAGTCTAGGTTGGCAGACCAGGGAGCCCCAAGGATCTACCTGTGTCTTAGTTAGGGTTTTTTGTTTTTTGTTTTTTTTTGAGACAGGGTTTCTCTGTGAAGCTTTGCGCCTTTCCTGGAACTCACTCTATAGACCAGGCTGGCCTCGAACTCACACAGATCTGCCTGGCTCTGCCTCCCGAGTGCTGGGATTAACTTTATGCGCCACCACTGCCAGGCATGACCATGGCAATTCTTATAATGGAAAACATTTAACTGGGGCTGGCTTACAGTTCTGAGGTTTAGTCCTTTATCACAGTAGGAAGCATGGTGGCATGCAGACAGACATGATACTGGAGAGGTAGCTAAAAGTTCTACATCTGAATCTGCAGGCATATTGGACATGGCTTGAGCATCTGAGACCTCACAGCCCACCCCTAGTGACACACTTCCTCCAACAAGGCCATACTTCCTAATAGTGCCTTCTTTGGTGACTAATCATTCAAATCTCTGAGCCTATGGAGGCTGTTCTTACTCAAACCAAGCCACTCCCCGATCCTCAGGGTTGTAGCCATATCATAATGCAAAGCTGCATTCAGTTCAGCTTCAAAAGTTCCCATATCTGTAACAGTCTCAACTCTGTTTAAAAATCCGAAGTTTCTTCTGAGACTCAAGGCAGTCTCTGAACTATAACCCCCTGTAAAATCAAAATAAAAAAGCATATCACATACTTGAAACATACAGAGGCAGAGGATATCATTACCGTTCCAAAAGGGAGGAAAGGGAGCATAGTGAGGAAATACAGGACCAAAGCAAGCCTGAAAACTCCAAACTCTGCCTGCTGTCAAAGCGCTCTTCAGATCTCCAACTCCTTTCAGCTTTGTTACGTGTAACACACTTCTCTGTCTTGGGCTGATTCCACTCTTTGTTTGTAGCTTTCCTCAGTAGGTATCCCACAGTTCTGGCTTTTCCAACATCTTGGGTGGTCTCCAAGGCAATCCAGCTTCACCTTCACAGCATCACCCAATGTAGGCCTCTATGCAGGGACACCCCTGACACAGGCCTGGTGTAAGTGGCTTTCCTTAGTTTCAGAGGCATAGTCCATAACCTCTTTCTTTTATCCTCGATTCTAAAAGCTGCCAGGTTCTGCTGCTTGCTGGAGCTGGAACATGGCCCCCTCCTCAATTATATCTTCACCAGATTTCTGTTTTTGATGGTTTCCTTCACTGCTTAAATGTTTCTTAATTCCTTTTCAAAAGTTAAACGCTTACCTGGTGGGATCTTGCTCTGAGGCCACCACTCCCTTTATTCCATTTAGCACCAGGCTTTTCTTTAATCTTTTTATCTCCTTGAACACAGGTCTTAGCTCCATTATACTTCCTGATGCCTCTTTTCTCCTCAAACTATACTTTTTGTCTTTTCCCTTGTTCAGTTTGCACTTTAATCTAAACTTTTCAGTTTAGCCTCAGGGAGACTAAAAGGCAAAAAGCAGTCACATTATTGGCCAAAAACCCCCACAAGAATGGTCTCTAAGCTGCGTACTAATGTTCTTCCCTTCTGAAACTTCTTGAGCTGGGCCCCCACAGTTCAAATTACCCTCAGCACTGCTTTCCATGCTCCTAGTAGTATGGCCCATTAAGCCCCAGTTAAAGTGTCCAATCACTTTTCTAGTACAGAGACCTATAGTCTTCCATATTCCTCCAAACAAAAGCATGGTTAGGCCTATCACAACAATACCCTAGTTTCTGGTACCAACTTCTGTCTTAATCATTGTTCTATTGCTGTGAAGAGACACCATGACTATGGCAACTTTTATAAAGGAAAACGTTTAATTAGAACTGGCTTACAGTTTCAGAGGTTTAGTCCATTATCAAGCATGGCAGAATTCATGGTGGCATGCAGGTAGGCATACTGCTGGAGATGAGCTGAGAGTTCTACATTTGGATTCCCCAGACAGCAGGAAGAGAAAGAGCCACTGGTCCTGGCTTTGGCTTTTGAAACCTCAAAGCCTGCCCCCAATGACACACTTCCTCCAACAAAGGCACACCTACTCCAACAAGGTCACACTCCTAATAGTGCTACTTTGGTGGCATTCTAATCTGTGAGCTCTTCTTATTCAAACCACCACAGGTGTTTTGGCTATATGTATGTCTCTGTGTTACATGTATGTCTGGTACCCATGGAGACTAGAAGAAGGTGGGGGATACCCTGGTCCTGGGATTAGGGAGAGCTGTGAAGCACTGTGTAGGTACTGGGAATCAAAGTCAGGTCCTCAGGAAGAGCAGCCAGTGCTCTTAACCAATGAGCCCTTTCTCAGCCACCCCAACCCCAAGTATTGTGTAGCCCAAGCTGGCTTCCGACTTGGTGTGTAGCTAAAGATGACCTTGGACTCATGATCCTCTTGCCTCTACCTCCCTAGTGCTGGGATTACCAGTATGTACCACTATGCGTGGTTTTCCTTCATTTATATTCTATTGTTAATAATTGTCTTTTTGCCGGGCGGTGGTGGCGCACACCTTTAATCCCAGCACTCGGGAGGCAGAGCCAGAAGGATCTCTGTGAGTTCGAGGCCAGCCTGGTCTGCAGAGCAAGATTCAGGACAGATACCAAAACTACACAGAGAAACCCTATCTCGAAAAACAAAAAACAAAAAAAAAATTACTTTTTAAAAATTACATTAAAATTTTTTTTAAATTTTTTTTGGTGTGTGTGTGTGAGAGAGAGAGAGATAGAGAGAGACACAGAGAGAGAGACACAGAGAGACACAGAGAGAGACTTGAGGAAGTTGGTTTGCCTCTTTCACCACATGGGGTCAAACTCAGATTATCTTATTTGGCGCCTTTAGCCTATGAGCCATCTTGTTGGCCATAGACTATTTAGATTTTTTAGAACATCAGAAAGATGATAGAGCATTATTCTCCATACCTGGTTCCCTAATTAGTTAAATTTTTTTTTATTAATGTACTTGCCTTGGTTTTTATTTTGTTTTGTTTTTGTTTGTTTTGAGATGATCTTACTCTATAGCCCTGGCTGGCCTTGAACTCATAGAGATCTGCCTGCCTTTGCTTCTCAAGTGCTGAGACTAAAGATGTTTGCAATCACATCCATCTTAGTAATATAGTCGTTACCAGACCTGGTGGTAGAGATTTGTATTCCCTGATTCTCTTGAAGCTTAGAGTAATACTATATTATCTGTAATATCATTTGGGGTGCTGAGATAGGAGGATTGTCACAAGTTTAAGACTAGCTTGGGCTACACATCAAGTTCTAGGATAGAAAGGGCTACACAACCAGATTTTGGTTTTTTTTTTTTTTTTTTTTTTAAATAGGGCTAGGGATATCAAAGGTGGAGAGTTGCCTAGTATGTGTGAGGCCTAAGATTCAGCCCTAAGCACTGACATAGAAAGGAGGGGCAGGTAGGGAAATGGCTCAGTCTGGAAAGTGCCTGCTGCACAGGTTTGAGGACCTGATTTTGGATGCCTTAGCACTCACATAAAAGCTGGGCCCTGCATCACACAACTATTAACCTCAGCACTGGTAGGATGGAGACCGACTGATCCCTGGAGCTCATTGGCCAGCCAGCCTAGCCGAATTGATGAGCTCTAAGCTCAGAGACCCTGTCTTAAAAAATTAGATTTAGAACCCAGACAACTTAGTAGCTTGGAACTTATGTGGTGAAAGGAGAGAACTGACTTTTCTACGTTGTCCTTTGATCTGCGCACACACACACAAATAAATGTTCTAAAAAATTAGCAAGAGAGTAACTGCCATCCACTCTGTCCTTCCCATACATGCATACATATGTGCACACACCCACGAGTACATACTTACATATACCACATACATACACATACAAAAATAATTTATTGTAATTAATAGGCCAATATTGATGTCTTGTTTTTGTTTATTTAGAGTATGTCTTTTTCTAATGTCCCTTTACTCTTTAGGGTTCCACAGAGACTACCACATCATACTTAAATTAATTGTCCTGTCTAGCCACTTCTTGCCTGTGGCAGAACCACACTTTCCGTGTTTGTGATGACCTTGACACTTTTAAGAATCACAGGTCAGGTATTTTGTTTTGGTTTGTCCTTTGGGACAGGGTCTCTGTAGCTCTCGGCCATCTTGCTGTCTAGAACAAACCAGGTTGGCTTAGACCTCATGATACTCTTGGGTGCTGGAATTATAGGTGTGCACCACTGTACCTGGCTAGTGAGTTACTTTGGAAGATGTTTCTCTGCCGGAGTAGTCATAGATTATGATAATGGATTATTGACAGAAAGATCAAAGCAGCCCGTTACTGGTTTTCACCCATGATGTTGTGTGTGTATGAATGTGGAGGACAAAGGTTGACATCTGTTGTCTTCCTCAGTCACCCTCCACTTTATTTTTTGAGACCGAGTCTCTCATTGAACCTGGAGCTGACCGATTGGCTAGGCTGACTGACCAATGAGCCCCAGGGATCCTCCTGTCTCTGTCTCCTCAGTGCCAAGATTATAGGTCTGCACCTGTGCCCATTGTGGGTGTTGAGGATCCAAACTCATGTCCTAATGCTTACACTATAAGCATTTTACTGACTGAGTCATCTCCCCGGTGCACTCATATATTGAGGTACGTCTGTCAACATTACTTGGTCAGTTTTGCTTGAGCCTTCAGCGTGTTAAGTTGTTAGTCAGGGTTCTCTAGAGTAGCAGAACTATAGAATGAGTCTTTCGTGTATAAAGGATTTATTAGAATCACTTACAGGCTATGGTTCAACTAATCCAACAATGGCAGGCCATAAACAGAAAGTCCAAGGATCCAGAAGTTGTTCAGTCCGAGAGGCTGGATGTCTCGGTTGGTCTTCAGTAGACCCTGGAATCCTGAAGATGCAGGCTCTAATGCCTGTAAAGGGATGCACTTGCTATCAAGGTGAGAGCAAGCAGGCAAAGAGCAAAAGCTTCCATCTTCCATGTCCTTGTATAGGCTTCCATCAGGTGTGGCCCAGATGAAAGGTGTGTCTTCCCCACCTCAAGATCCAAATTAAAGACATGTGTCTTTCTGCTTCAAGATCTGGATCAAAGGTATGTGTCTTCCTACCTCAAAGGTTCAGACTAGAAGTAGATTGACCTACTTTAAATCAAGCAAAAATTCTCTCACAGGTATGCCCTCCATTTCTGGATTTTAGTTCATTCCAGATGTTAGCCAAGTTGACAACAAGAACAGCCATCACAGTAAGTGCCTTACCGCTGAACCCAGCCTCTCACCCTTCTTGAGCAGTGTCTGTATTTTGATGTCCACCTTCATTGCTGGTGATACTTATCAGTTTCTCCAGCATAGTTACCCTTTCCCTTCCTTCATTTTCTTTTGCTTTGTTCTTGTTTCTGTTTGGTTTATGTGATATGGGGATTGAACCGAAGGCCTCATGCATGTTGAGCAAGTTCTGTTCCACTCACTGAACTGTATCTCCAGCACTGTACGAATTGTTGCACAAATCCTAAATGACCTTTTTGTTTTGTTTTGTTTTGGTTTTGGTTTTTTCAGGACAGGGTTTCTTTGTGTAGTTTTGGTGCCTGTCTTGGATCTCACTCTGTAGATTAGGCTGGCCTTGAACTCACAGATCTGCCTGGCTCTGCCTCCCAAGTGCTGGGATTAAAGGCATGTGCCACTACTGCCTGGTCTAAATGGTCTTATAATAAAAACCCAGAGCCAGATATTGGGGTACATGCCGAAAGATCAGAAGAAAGAAGCCACAGCCACTTCTCACCTCGCCAACTCTTCAGCTGATCCTATCTACACAAATCCTCAGACTGAATGCCTCTGAGCCCTCAGCCAAAAGGGTCTCTAGTTCCTGTCTCCTCACGCCTTATATGCCTTTCTCTGCTCAGCCATTTCACTTTCAAAATATCTCAACCTTCTTAGTGCTGGGATTAATGGTGTGTGTGCTTCCCAAATACTGGGGTTAAAGGTGTGTGCCACCAGTGCCTGGCTCTGTTTCTCTCCTAGACTGGATCATTCTCATGTAGCCCAGTGTGGCCTTGAACTCAGAGATCAACTCAGAGATCAGATGGACCTCCCGAGTGCTAGGATTAAAGGTGTGTGCCACCATTGCCTGACCTCTATGTTTAACTCTGGCTGGTGCTGTCCTCTGATCTTCAAACAAGCTTTATTTTTTTAGATTACAAATACCACTACACTGAATACTTTGTAAGGAAGTCACTATGTGTAGGCAGCACCTAAGGAGTACGGGTTATGTAAAAACACATGGTTTCCAGCAGGAGGCACAGTTTTCGGAGTCAGCCTAGCGGGAAGAAATAGGTTGCTGGGGAGTAAGGGTATACCTTGAAGGTGATACCTGCTTATGGTTCTCACCTGTCCAGTCTCTTGACTTCCTGAGCTGCCGATAGGTAAGGAGCAGCCAGCGAATTCCTATGGACCCGCATAAATGCCAACTGGCTGGTGTGTGGCCCTCTGTAATTCCAGCCTTGGAAAGTGGAGACAGAATCCCCAAAGCGAGCTAGTGAGCTCTGCTTTGATTGAGAGACCTGTCTCAATGAATAAAAGGGAATAGCTATTACGAATGGTTCCCAACATCAACTTTGGCCTCCTCATGCATATGCATATTGCACCTGCACATACGTGAGTCCATTCACACAAACATGTATACATATACATGTACACACATATGAAAATGAGGGAAAGCACACACCTATCCAGGAAGGTCATTCCACACCAGGAATTCAGGTAGTGAGTGAGTGGAGAGGATGGCGAGAGGACACTGAAGAGGTGCCAGTTGCCTGCTTCGAAGGGTCACAGAGAAGAAACTGGAGAAGTTATATCATGATTCTGAAGACTGGGTAAGAGTAAGCTTTACATTCATTTTTTAAGAATTTTTTTGAAGGTGAACTGGGTGGTAGCACATGCCTTTAACCCCAGTACTTGGAGGCAGAAGCAAGCAGATCTTTGTGAGGCCAGCCTGGTCTATAGGGCTAGTCCCAGGACAGCCAGGGCTACACAAAGAAACCATGGCTTGAAAAACAAAACAGAAACAGACAAACAAAAAATGTGAGTGAGTTTGTATGTGTGAATTTGCATATGTATGCAGGTGTTTGAGGCCAGAAGAGGGTGTCCACTGGAGCTGGGGTTGTAAGTGGTTGTAAGGCCACCTGATGTGGGTGCTAGGAACCGAACTCTGGACTTCTGCAGGAGCAGCAAGCTCTCTTAACCACAAAGCCATCTGTTCAACTCCAGATCCTACGTTTTTGTAAGTCATGTAGCTACCCTAGGAACAGAGAACATAGACCCACAAAGCCTCAAGTGTTTGCTGTGGATATCTGTGTTAGTGTTCTGTCACTGACAAATGCCTGAGATGAACACTTTATACAGAAGAAAGGCTTATTTTGGCTCTTGGCTTTCAGTGGTTTCGATTCATAGTCACTTGGCTCCATTGCTTCTGGCCTTGGATGGGGCAGAAGATCATAGTGGAAAGCATGAATTGTAGCTCAGCTACCCAGCTCCTGGCAGCCAGGAGGGGGAGAGATTGAGAACAAAGGAGCAGGCACAAGATATCTAACCCCAGTGACCTGCTTCCTCCATTTAGGTCCTACCTCCTAGGACAGCCCCATCTCCTTCTCATGGTTCATTCAGCTGTGAACCTATCAATGGATGAACCACTGATGAAGTCAGAGCCCCCATGGTCCATTTTTTTCTGAAGATAGGAACTTTGGGGGAACATTTAGTACCAAACCATAAGGGACTGTGGAGATGGCTCAGTTGGGAAAGTGACTTCATCAGTCCAGAGGAAGAAGCAAACGGATCTCTTAAGTTCAGTGGTAGCCTGGTATACATAGGGAGTTCCAGGCCAGCCAGGGATACACAGTGAGACTCTGCCTCAAAAACAAAAAAACAAGGTTGAGAGTGATTGAGGAAGTTGCCCACCCAAAATTGATGGCCTCCACACGCATGTGCACACATACACATGCTGGAATACAGGGAATAAGAAAGTTTACAGCTGGTATTAGGTAGCCAACCAGAAAGAGAGGGGCAGAAAACAAGCCTGTCTTGCAAGTTCCAGCTGACTCCATAGAGGCCACACCCCCGCCTAGGAGCACACACAAGGTACCTTTGCTTTTTCTCCTAATAAGCTCAGCAGCTGTGAGTAGTTACACCTTCAGCATATCCGTGCATCTGATAGTTAGAGACTGAATTGTGGGCATGTGCAGGTTATAAGAAACCCTCTTCCTGTTCCTGAAAGACAAAGACTGTCCCAGTGGTGGGCCAGGGGAGGAGGAATGCTCGACCCAGAGCTGTCAGTCAAATTCTAGGTACCTTCTGTTGCTGGTGCCTGGCTTGGTCGACCCTCCATTCAGAGGAGATTATTTTGCTTCTGCTTTTTAAAAATTAAATTTATTTATGTGTATGTGTGCCACAGTGCACATGTTGAACTCAGAGGACAACTCGGGAGTCAGTTCTCTCCTAACGTGTGTCCTTGGGATCAAACTGGAATCCTCAGATTGGGCGGTAAGCACCTTAACCCTGCATTTGCTTTTTAACCTGAATAATAAACTGAAAACCTGGCTTGCTCTACCCATGCTTGGCTGAGTTCTTCAGGGACACTAGAACTTGGACTGCTGCCACTGTTGGGGTCTGAGAGAATGTGGGGGGAGTCATGTCCCCATCTATGACAGTCACCACAGCACCTCCTAAGAGGGAGGCTAAAGAGCAGGGATCAGAAAGACTGGCAGAAGCTCTGCTGCCAGCCCTGAAGAGGTGGACTGAGCTTTGGACCAAGGGCACAGAAGCCAGAAAAGGCAGACACCAATACTGTCTAGAGCCTGCAGAAGGGATCAGCCCTGCCGGCACCTTGATTTTAGCCTGTTGTATGACACTGTTTCTGGGGCTCAGACATTAACAAATTTCTACTTACCCTAAGTAGGGAACTAACAACAGACCAGAAAGAAGACACCACTATGGTGATATTTTATTTGTATTAAAATGTTATTTGTATGTTAATAAATAAAGTTGCCCAGGGTCAGAGCTATTAGCAAGCCATAGGAAAGCAGGGCAGTGGTGGCATATGCTTGTGATCCCAGCACTTGGTAGGCAGAGCTAGGTAAGTCTCTGTGTGTTCAGGGATACAGCCAGTATTGGATACACATGCCTTTAATCTCAGTACCAATCATGGGAAGCCTGGAGGTCTATACAGACAGGCCGTGACGAGGCAGTCATGTGGTTGGGTTTACAACCAATGAGAAAGCAGAACAGAAATTCTATATAAAGACTTTAACACAGGAAGTAGCTCTGGTTCGGAGAGGTAGGACCACCGCAGGAGGAAGGGTAAGGTTTTAGCTCTTAGCTCTGACCTCTTGGCTTTCTTCTTTCTTTTTTTTTTTTTAAAGATTTATTTTATTTATTATGTATACAGTGTTCTGCCTGCATGTGTCTTTGCAGGCCAGAAGAGGGCACCAGATCTAATTGCAGGTGGTTGTGAGCCACCATGTGGTTGCTGGGAATTGAACTCAGGACCTCTGGAAGAGCAGTCAGTGCTCTTAACCACTGAGCCATCTCTCCAGCCCAGGCTTTCTTCTTTGCATTGGTTCTGTGTTTCTTATTTAATAAGATGGTTGGGCTAGAGAGGCCCACAGAAATCCACAAAGATACCCACACAACAGACTGCCGGCAATGGTCGAGAGACAGCCCGAACTGACCTACTCTGGTGATGGGATGGCCAAACACCCTAATTGTTGTGCTAGAAACCTCATCCAACTACTGAGGGATCTGGATGCAGAGATCCATGTCTAGGCCCTGGGTGGATCTCTGGGAGTCCAATTAACGAGAATGAGGAGGGTTTATATGAGCGAGAATTGTTGAGACCAAGGTTGGATAAAGCACAGGGACAAATAGCCAAATGAATGGAAACACATGAACTATGAACCAATGGCTGAGGGGTCCACACTGGATCAGGCCCTCCGAATGGGTGAGACAGTTGATTGGCTTGATCTGTTTGGGAGGCATCCAGGCAGTGGGACCAGATCTTGTGCTCATTGCATGAGTTGGCTGTTTGAAACCTGGGGCCTATGCAGGATTGTTTGGCTCGGCCTGGGAGGAGGGGACTAGACCTACCTGGACTGAGTCTACCAGGTTGACCTCAGTCTGTGGGGAAGGCTTTGCCCTGGAGGAGATGGGAATGGGGGGGGCGGCGTTGGGGGGAAGGTGAGGGGGACGGGAGGGGGGAGAACAAGGGAATCCGTGACCGATATGTAGAACTGAATTGTATTGCAAAATAAACTAAAATAAATTAAAAAAAAAAAAAAAAAAAAAAAAAAAAAAAAAAAAAAAAAAAAACACCGCTACAAAGGATGAGAAATTGAAAATCTCTATGGACTCTTCGTAGGAATAATTACGAGAGGCGGTGTGTTTCCACGGTCTCTTTGCTCCTTTTGCTTGGACACGCACTTCTTTAAGTGCCTTCCAGGTAATGTATTACACTAGCTGCTTTGAGGGATTTGAAGAATAGGGAAATCATTCTATCAAAGCGCTCGTGATTTAGGAGGAGCTCTAAGAAAGCTCAGGATTGTGAGTCATTGGGGAAGGTGTGAAGTTTCATAAGAGTGGTAAAACAATTAGAACTTTTGTTGAGATGACTTTAAAATTACTGCTGTCAAGTCATCTAACTCTGAACATGGACTATCTACTTCATACAGCTCTTGAGAGGGGAATCCTATTTTGCAATTGGTTCCGCTGGTGCACAGGAACACTGTTTCATGCTGGGAAAACAATTTACTTAAAGCACTGGTTCTCAACCTCCCTAATGCTGTGACCCTTTAATACAGTTCCTCATGTTATGGTGACCCCCAACCACAAAATTATTTTTGTTGCTACTTCATAATTGTAAGTTTGCTACTATTATGAATCACAATGTAACTATCTGATGTGTGATCCCCAAGAAAGGGTCGTGACCCACAGGCTGAGAACCACTGACTTCGAGTCTTCATGTTGGTATAGAATTTGGTATACAAGTTTTATCAAATGAAGGAAGTTTCAAATTTTCTGTTCCATTATCATAAGACATTCTACTTTATTAAGTGATATAGACATTAGAGTATAGAATGTTTTTCAGATTTGTAGAAATACATGTACTGATTCACCCTGTATTCAATGAATTGCCATTCAGTCATTTTTTTGCCATCTTGGAATAAATCATACATGATGATTGTTTTAAAAAAAAAAAAAAAAAAATAAGATGGTTGGTTACTTCTACACACCACCAAAGTCCAACTTGGTAACTGGTAAGTTTTATTGTGGTTACTTACAGGAGCAGGAATGGCTCAGTCAGCTGGATCACCAAAAAGCCCACCTCCACATTGGTGACAACTCAAGAAACCCCTGAAAACCTGGAGCAGACTACCTGCACGCAGTTCAGCAGACTGGAGACTGCCTCTCTTCTAGGCAGCGAGGTAGGTCTCTGCTTCTTCCAGGCAGCTTGAGTTGGGCTCAAGCTTCTGACTGTCTCAGCAGTCCATAAAGCATGTGCTTGGGGAAGAAAGGGTTTAGTAACCTGGTCAGTTTGAAGGACTTTCTGAAACCCTTGAGTTGTTTACTTCCTGAGCTTAAGGATCTTACCTGTAGGAATGAATGATTCGCCTCCCCATAGCATGTCCAATGTCTTGTTTCCCTCCAAAATGGAAAGTTAATCTGAGAGGAAACTGCTATAAACAGGCTGGTAATACATAATTTGAGATTTCTAATGTTTTGTTGATTGTTGTTGTAAGATAATAAAGACGTATTGAACTTATTGTTTAGTTGTAATTTATTAATTGAAAATTACATGAAATGTAAATTTCAGTCTCCATAAACTAATAAAAAATGATTATCTGAAAAAATTTTGTCAACCAGGAATGGTGGTGCAAGCCCATAATCCTGGCTCTTGGGAGGTAGAGGTGGGAGGATCAGGAACTTAAGGTCATTCTGGGCTACTTGGCCAGTTTGAGGCCAGCCTGGACTACATGAAACTCTCTTCAAGAATTAAACAAACAAACAAACAAAAAAACCCAACCAGATTAAAACTTAAAAATTGCCTTTTGGCTGAGAAAAAAATGGTTAAAATAAGAGAGTTGGACTAGGAGGATGGTTCTGTTGGTAAATAGTTTGTCATAAGAACATGAGGACCTGAGCTCAGATCCTCCTCCAGCACCTATGTAAAAAAGATGCTGTACTACATGGAGAGGCTGAGTCAGGGAGCAACCTGGACTCACTGGCCCACTAGGGTAGCCTCTTGGGTAAGCTCCAGGTTTAGTGAGAGACGTGCGTCAAAAAAGGTGAAGATCAAGTAAGGCATCCGACACACCTCCACACAGAAATAACTGGAGGGGGCGGTTTTGGAGAGATGGCTGAGCAGTTAAGCATGAGTAGTGTTCAATCATCACAGTTCAGATCCCAGCACCCAGGTATCTGATGCTCTCTTCTGGCCTCCAAGGGCACCTACACACATGTACATACATGCACAAAAACATGTACACATAAATGAAAAAAAATTTAAAAAGGGCTGTTAACTTGTTGTTTGGAGACAGGGTCTCCATATCCCAGACTGTATCAAAGTCTCTGTCATATGGGTGACTTTGAATGCTGATCCTGCTCCCTTCTTGGAGCTGAGACCACAGACAAGTATTACCATGCCCAACCCCAGTAAGGAAAACAGAGTTGTGAAGGCTAATCTTGGTTGTCAATGACAACACACCTGGGAGACAGCCTCAACTGAAGAATTACCTTTATCAGATTAGCCTTTGGGCATGTCTGTGTGGTATTTTCTTGATTCATAATTAATGTAGAAGAGCCCAGCCTACTGTGGTCAGTACCATTCATGCAGGTGCACTTGTGCTGTGCAAGAGAGCAGAATATGAGCCTGAGAATAAGCCTTAAGCAGCAACTGGGGTTTTGAGGTTGTTTCTTGGGATCTGCCTTGTAAAGAAAAGCTAGCCCAGACCCAGAGAGGAGGGTGACTTACTAGCTTGCCAAAAAAGACCAACGTTCTATCCCTAGTTTTTATTATCAGCTTGACACAAACTAGAGTCCCCTTGGAAGGAGGGAGTCTCAGCAAAAGAATGGCCTGTGGCCATGGCTGTGAGAGATTTTCTTAACTGATGATTGCAGACATCAGTGGTCCTCCATGGTTTCTGCTTCACTTTCTGCCTTGGCTTCCATCTAGAAGTGTATGGAAAATAAATCCTTTCTTCTCCCAATTTTTTTTAAAGATTTATTTATTTATTATGTATACAGAAGAGAGTGCCAGATCTCATTACAGATGGTTGTGAGCCACCATGTGGGTGCTGGGAATTGAACTCAGGACCTCTGGAAGAGCAATCGGTGCTCTTAACCTCTGAGCTATCTCTCCAGTCCCCTCCCAATTGTTCTTAGTTGAAGTGTTTTATCAAAGTGACCTAGAGAAAGTAAAACGTGTCAAGCAGAAAATTCTGCCTAAAGAGGAGGGAGGGTGGGAGCAGGGACTGTGCAAACCAGACATGGATGTCAGAATAGGGGGAGTGGTGGTTAAGCAAGAGGACTTAGCAGATAAAGGTGCTGGACAGCCCAAGGTTGATCCCTGGAGCCCACGTAAAGTGGGAGTAAAGGAATTTTTCTATGATTTCATGTGTGTCAACAAACACACATATAATTTTTAAAAATGAGGGGAGGCAGGGTCTGTGTTGATCTCCATGGCTTCAGTTACCACTGAAGGCTGTGCCCTGGGTCTGGGCTGCCATCTGAGGCCATGTTGGTGCCTGAGGGTCATGCCAATCTGAGTGGCCTGGGCTGCCACCTAGGGCCATAGTGACATCTGGGCCCAGGCTGCTGCCAAAGACCATGTCTGGGGTCTCCGTGGCCTGTGTTGCTACCAAGGGGCCACATGGATGCCCAGGGTCTGGGCCGCCACCCATGGCCACGTTGGTGTCTGAGGGCTGTGCTGCTGGGGCCATACTGATCTGGATGGCCTGTGTTGCCACCCAGGGCCATGGTGACTTCTGAGCCTGAGCTGCTGCCAAGGCCTGTGTCTGGGTCTGTGGCCCTACGGCAGCCAGGGTCTGACTGAGTTGGTGTCCATGGCTCCTGTTACTACCAAGGGCCATGCGGATAGTGGGGTCTGATCAACCACCTGAGACCCTGTTGGTGTCTTAGTAACCATGCCCTGGTTACTTCTGGGCCTGAGCTGTTGCCAAGGGCATGTCTGGGTCTATGGTCCTGCTGCAGCTGGGGTCTGTATTGATTTCCATGGCCCATGTTACCACAGGGGGCCATAGGAACCGTGCATGTTGAAATCTGAGGGCTGTGCTGAGCCAGCGTCACCCTTCAGTGGCCCTGGGAGAGCTAGTCCTGCCCCTTGCTGGCCACTGCAGCACAAGAACTGGATCCACCCCTCATGGGAGAGCTGGCCCCACACTTAAGAGATGGCCCTGCCCCTCACCACAGGTGTGGGAGAGAGGCCTGATGGCATGGGCATAGGAAAACTGACTCTGCCCCTTGCTGGGCAGGGGTAGGGGTGGGGAGAGGTCCCAGGGGCCCAGATTCACCAAATCAGCTACCACCCAGGCCCGTATTCAAGGCTTTGAGTTGGCCATTTCAACATCTACCCCATCTGTGACCTGCTGAAGTATGTGAAGGGACTCGTCCTGTGGAACCATAACTGCGGGATCTCCATGACTCCAGACAACAGCAGGATATCTGAGAGGAGTTTTGGTCAGGGTCCAGTATTGATGGTGTACCAGGGGCCAGAGGCCTTGAACCATAACAATAATTGCAATAAACATTTGCAAGTAAAGCAGAGAGGGTATACTGCATGGCACACTGCAGCTCCCAGTGCCACTAAGATGAATGCAGAGGTGTTGGAGAGGTGGGAAAGACAGGAGCAAAGTGGTGTTTTTGTTTATTTTGTTTTTAATTAATATTTTTTAAAATTTTCTTTTGTGGGGGACATTACAGTGATGAGTGAGGGGCATATGTGGAGGGACTGGGAAATGAGTGGGATTTGGGTGCATGATGTGAAATTCCCAAAGAATCAATAAAAAATCATGTTAAAAAAACAAAAACAAGCATTCTAAAGCTATATGACTTAAAACACGGTTGTAATTAGTGGTCTGTATCCACCAATTCCACATTTGTACATTAAAAAGAAGTATGTATCCCTTCAAAAAAAATGAGGGAGGCAAAGGGGTGATGGTGTGTGTGGAGAGGAGGCCAATTCTATGTGTCTTGGTGACTGACCAGTCTATAGGGAGAAGGCAGCAACCAGATACAGAGATGCCATTCTCTCTGAACTACTTGTGGAACTCCATATGTGAGCAGGCTAATTGGAATCTTCAAGAAGGCGGGAGCGGGGGGATGGCTCATCCAGTAAAGTGGGAGTGTGAGGACCTGAGTTTAGAACTGGGCACAACAGTACATGTCTGCAATCCTGCACTTCCACACTGACGGGGCAGGCAAACGCAAACTCCCAAAGCTCTTGGGCCTAATGTAGGGTTTTGCATGAGAAGTGTCCCCCCAATGGGCTCATGTATTTGAACACTCAGTCCCCAGTGGTGCTGTTTGGGGAGGTTCTGGAACTTTGGAGAAGCAGAGCCGTTGACTCCCAACTTCTGCTTTTGCAACTGTGCCTTCCCATCTTCATGGACACCTCGCCCTCTCAAACTATAAGCCAACGTCAACTTTATCAGTTGCTTTTGGTCATAATATTGTATTACAGCCACAGAAAAGTAACTCATACTTGCTATCTGCAGCAATGAACAAGGGACCCTGTCTCAACAAGGTGGGAAGGGAGAACCAACATCCAAGGTTGTCATCTGACTTCCACACTTAAACATGCATGCACACCAAGATTTTTAAAAGTGTGGGTGTGAAGAGCTGCTGACACGGCTCATCAGAGAAAAGTGCTTGCTGCCAAGCCCAACCACCTGAGTTCTATCCTTGAACTCGCTTGGTGGAAGGAGAGAACTGGCTTGGGCAAATTGTCCTCATATCTCCTTATATGAACACCTAATAAATAAATGTAATAGGAAAATATTATTTCAGCTTGAAGGTCACTGAGCCACCTTGGAGAACTTAATTCTACAGTAGTCCCTCTGAACCCAAGCCCTAATACCCATTCCAGTGTTTCTTTATCAAGCACAGTCATGGACATTTTATCTCTTTGGGGTCAAGATTGGCAAAGCCCTTGCCGGGCAGTAGTGGCACACACCTTTAATCCCAGCACTCGGGAGGCAGAGCCAAGGAAATCTCTGTGAGTTCGAGGCCAGCCTGGTCTACAGAGTGAGATCCAGGACAGTCACCAAAACTACACAGAGAAACTCTGTCTTGAAAAAAAAAAGATTGGCAAAGCCCCACAACTTTAGTTTCCTGGGTCACAAAGTGACCCATGTTGCCCTGAACCTTAAGGACAGTGACCCCATTTATTCTTGGCTACTCCTGAGTA